CGGTGTGCCATTGAGAATAATTAGACATAATATTATCAAGCAATTTGGTAGCATCTCCTAACGTAATTTCCATAAAAGTGCCTCCCGCGGCCGAATCTAAAAGATTTCTAGAAGCAAAATTCAATCCGGCATAAATTTTTTGTATAATCATCCATAAATTCAAACCATGAGTAGGGCAATTGCGAAGCATTAATTTCATTCTTTCCCAAGATTGGGCAACATGCTCATGATCAAGTTGTTTAAAATTCATGATGTCGTTCCTAAGAGTGATAATCTTAGCGGGAGGAAAATACTTAGAGATAAAAGCATCTTTGCACTTGTTCCAAGAATCAATACTATTTTTAGGCAAAGACGAAAACCAAACTTTAGCACAATCTCTAAGTGAAAACGGAAATAACTTCAATTTGACAATATTGTTATCCATATCTTTCTTCTTTTGCATATCACACAAATCAACTAAATTGTTTAGATGAGTAGCGGCATCTTCACTAGGAAGGCCGACGAATTGATCTTTCATAACAAGATTCAGCAAAGCGGTATTGATTTCACAAGACTCATCATTATTAAGAGGAGCAATCGGAGTACTAAGGAAATCATTATTATTGGTATTCGAGAAATCACACAATTTGGTATTATCTTGCGCCATGGCAACAAGTAATCCAACACACAAGCAAACAGAAATGCAACGAGAAAAAGGCAAACGGAAAAGAGAGGATGAGATTGGGAAAGAGAGGGCAAATAAAACGGCAAGGATGAAGTGGGGGAGAGGAAAACGAGAGGCAAATGGCAAATAATGTAATGCGAGAGATAGGAATTGCGATGGGTACTTGGTATAGTTGACTTGCTTGCATGAGCCTCCCCGGCAACGGCGCCAGAAATTCTTCTTGCTACCTCTTGAGCACTGCGTTGGATTTCCCCAAAGAGGAGAGGATGATGCAGCAAAGTAGCATAAGTATTTCCCTCAGTTTTTGAGAACCAAGGTATCAATCCAGTAGGACACCACGCACAAGTCCCTCGTACCTACACAAAACGATAGCAACTCGCAACCAATGCGACTAGGGGTTGTCAACCCCTTCTCGGTCACTTACGAAAGTGAGATCTGATAGAGATGATAAATAATATTTTTGGTATTTTTGATAGATAGATGCAAAGTAAAAAGTAAAAGGCAAAGTAAAAACAAGGCAAGTAAATGAAGTGACAGAGATTGATATGATGAGAATAGACCCGGGGGCCATAGGTTTCACTAGTGGCTTCTCTCAAGAGCATAGATTTCCTACGATGGGTGAACAAATTACTGTTGAGCAATTGACAGAATTGAGCATAGTTATGAGTATATCTAGGCAATGATCATGTATATAGGCATCACGTCCAAAACAAGTAGATCAAAACGATTCTGCATCTACTACGATTACTCCACTCATCGACCGCTATCCAGCATGCATCTAGAGTATTAAGTTAAAAACAGAGTAACACCTTAAGCAAGATGACATGATGTAGAGGGATAAATTCATGCAATATGATAAAAAACCCATCTTGTTATCCTTGATGGCAACAATAGAATACGTGCCTTTTAACCCTTTCTGTCACTGGGTAAGGACACCGCAAGATTGAACCCAAAGCTAAGCACTTCTCCCATTGCAAGAACTACCAATCTAGTTGGCCAAACCAAAAAGGATAATTCGAAGAGACTTGCAAAGATAACTCAATCATACATAAAAGAATTCAGAGAAGAATCAAATATTTTCCATAGATAATACTGGATCATAAACCCACAATTCATCGGTCTCAACAAACACACCCCAAAAAGAAGATTACATCGAATAGATCTCCACGAGAGAGGGGGAGAACATTGTATTGAGATCCAAAAAGAGAGAAGAAGCCATCTAGCTACTAGCTATGGACCCGAAGGTCTGAAGTAAACTACTCACACTTCATCGGAGGGGCTATGGTGATGATGTAGAAGCCCTCCATGGTGGATGCCCCCTCCGGCGGAGCTCCGGAACAGGCCCCAAGATGGGATCTCATGGATATAGAAGGTTGCGGCGGTGGAATTAGGTTTTTTGCTCCTGTTCTGATCGTTTGGGGATACATAGGTATATATAGGAGGAAGGAGTACGTCGGTGGAGCGTCAGGGGGCCCACGAGGTAGGGGGCGCGCCCAGGGGGGCGCGCCCTCCACCCTCGTGGCGGCCTCTGGCACTGCTTGGAGTAGGGTCCAAGTCTCCTGGATCACGTTCGGTTGGAAAATCACATTCCCGAAGGTTTCATTCCGTTTGGACTCCGTTTGATATTCCGTTTCTTCGAAACACTGAAATAGGCAAAAACAGCAATTCTGGGTTGGGCCTCCGGTTAATAGGTTAGTCCCAAAAGTAACATAAAAGTGGAAAATAAAGCCCAATATAGTCCAAAACAGTAGATAAAGTAGCATGGAGCAATCAAAAATTATAGATACGTTGGAGACGTATCAACAACGCCCGCAACTTCATCCACGCTCCGGTCCCATGAGTCGAGTCGAAAGTAGTGATGCTATTTGTAGTTCTGAAACATCGATTAGCTCATGTTGTAATTATACTTTAATGAACTTGTATGTCTCTTTGGTTTGGACAGTCGTTCAACTTAGATGTAATCGATGCTATTTATTAGTAGGACCATGAATCATGTTATTAATGTCTTGCTTTTCTCTTCCGATCCTTTTGTTGCATACTTATATGTTGCTTATATATTGTCTGTTGTTTGGCTTGTGCATAGAGATGCCGTCGTATGTCGTGTACAAGGGTAAGATGCCGTCGTATTTCGGCCCCTGTTGCCGTTGGAGGGGGGGGGCGCCGGCCATTGTTGTTGCTGCTAGGGTTCCCCTGGTGATAGTAGCCGCTGCCACCATGATAGGAACTGCCACCGCCGCCGTAGTTGTTCTGGTGGTAGCCTCCAGCGCCACCGTTTGGGTAGCCGCCGCTGCCGCCGCCACCATAGCCACCTCCATCATACCCGCCAGAGCCTCCACTTCCGAATCCGCCACCGTTAGGGTGGCCACCGCCGCCGTAGCCAGGGCCACCACAAGGACCGCCACCGTTGCCCTTTTGGTTTGGGTTGCCGCGGTAGCCGCCCTTGTTACCTCCTTGTCGCCTGCCGCCGCGGGAGATGGATTTTGCAAAAGATTTAAAGCCGCCGGCTCCGTTGCCATGGAACATCTCGACCCTCTGGTGGAAGTTGGCCACAAGAGAGAAGAGGGCGTCGATGGTGGTAGGCTCCGTGCGCACATCCAGCGCGGAGACAATCGGTTGATACTCCATATAGAGTCCAGCAACGATGAAGGAGATGAGTTCTCCCTCCTCGAGCGGTCTACCCGCCGCCGCGAGCTCGTCGGAGAGAGACCTCATGTACCTGAAGTAGGCTGAAGCTGACTGGGATCCCTTCTGCGCGTTTGTGAGAGAGGCTCGGATGTTGTTGACGCGAGATAGGGACACAGCGGCAAACATGTTCGCCAGTGCGTCCCAGATTGCATGTGATGTCTCAAGGGAGGCGACTTGGATGAGCACTTCTTTGGATAGGTTTCGGAGAAGATAGGCAACTATTTGCTGATCTTGAATAAGCCATGGGGAGTAGGAAGGATTTGGGACAACCTGATCCTTCCCATCGGCGCTCTTGGTTGTGATGGTTTTGGAGGGTTCTTGGATAGTTTGATCGAGATAGCCAAAAAGGCCAGCGCCCATGATCTGTGATCAGGCCTGGGCGTGCCATAGGACATAGTTGGTACGGGAAAGTGGTTCGGAGGTGTTGTTGTTCAGGTCGGAGAAGATGGCCGAGCTAGAGGAGGACATGGTTCCTGGGATGATCGGTGGAAGGTAGGTTCTGTCGATGGAGGATGGGTAGAAACGAGCTAGGGATAGGTTTCTGTTGATGGAGGATAGATGGGAACGAGCTAGACGAGGTGGAAGAGTCCTGCTCTGAATACCATGTAGAATAATGATTGAAGCGTCTCAATCACCGTAACATGGTGACCCGCATGTATATGTATTGATATAACTTGGAGTACAAGAGTTCCGTATGGTTACAATTAACCATACGGGAGAGATATACAAGGGAAGGAGATAAGGATAGAATACAAAGATAAGTTAACTATCTCCTAACAATGCCCTTGTATAATGCGCTGACGACAATATTGGCTAACATTGATGAGCATGCAACGATATTTGATTTCGACAGTGAATTGCAGCTTGCAAAGCTTCAGCAAGATTTCTGACATCTTATCCTCGTATTTTAAAATTATCAAATCGAATCTCAATTAAGAACCAATTCAAATTCATATAATAAAAGAATAAGGAAACACTACCTCACCCCTATTGATAACCATTTTGGCCACTACCGTCAAAACAAATCCTAACCCTAGTTTGAGGATAGAACTATGGTATGGTTTCTCTAAAGTAAAAACAAGACGTAATAAAAAAGGATCGACGCGGAAAGTTCCGATTGAAATAGGATCTAAACAAGGAAGAGCACTTGCCATTCGTTGGTTATTAGAAGCATCCCAAAAGCATCTGGGTCGAAATATGGCTTTCAAATTAAGTTCCGAATTAGTAGATGCTGCCAAAGGGAGTGGGGGTGCCATACGCAAAAAGGAAGCGACTCATAGAATGGCAGAGGCAAATAGAGCTCTTGCACATTTTCGTTAATCCATGAACAGAATCTATGTACATAATAAAATCTTGTTAAAAAATATTTGTTCGTTGACAATTTAAAACAAACCTTCCAAGTACTTCAAGAACTTAAATACTCTTTAATAGATGAAAATAAAAGGATGTCTAATTTCGATAGTAACATAATGTTAGATCCATTCCTTTTGAATTGTCACTTTGTCCATCATGATTCTTGGGAAGAGACATTGGCAATAATTCACCTTGGACAATTTATTTGTGAAAATGTATGTCTATTTAAATCGCACATAAAAAATCCGGTCAAATTTTCATTGTAAATATCAAAGAAAGGATTCTTGTCTATGAGTTCATGCAAAATAGTTCCTTGGACCATTACATATCTGGTACATTTTCCGTATTATCAGAGATATTTTTCAAGCACACCTCCCTTAATTCCTAGTAAATGTGCATGAATTCAAAACATCTACAGTTAAATGGAAGGCTACAACCGATCTAGTTTTCACCTGATTCTTTGTTGCTCGAATCATAAAAAATATTCTAGTTTGGTTTAGAGAAATTCATCAACAGTTGATAGAAGTTGCAATTTGATTATCTTTTGCAGACAGAACAAAAGGGCAATTGCTAGACTGGTCTAAGCGATTCAATATAATTACAGGGTTAACAGAGGGCCTTGTTTACCTGCATAAAGGTTCCATGTCCTGCCTTGTCCATAGAGACTTGAAACCACATAATATCCTCTTGGATTATAACATGAGCCCGAAGATGACTGATTTTGGATCAGCTAGGACACTGAGTTCAGACATAGCAGAAGGGCGCACAAGTAGGGTCGTGGGAACCTGGTATCAGCTGCCTACAATATTAATAATCACATATTCCCATCATTTGTTTTCAGATGTTCTAATCTTACAGTTTTCTGGGAAAACAATTAAGGGAATACTGTGGTCATACTGTCTTCTGGGTGGAAGACTAGTAGGAGGAGAAGACACCACAGCATATTTGTCCAACAAAGCTTGAATCTCAGGTAACTGTTCTCTGTGTTCAGTAACTTCAGTCTAAAAAATTGCCATGACAGTGAAAGCACATTCCTCTGGCAATTCTCCTTGCAATGTAACAGTAGGACCCTTACATTGGAAAGATAGGCACGCACGCCTATCTTCTCTTCTCGAGAGGATGAAATCGATTTGACTAGAGTGTTGGCCACTACTAAAAGTCACCAAATGTGATTCTCTCTTTCTAAAGAGGGTGTTAGCTACAATTATCAGCTGCCTAGAATATTAATAATCACATATTCCCATCATTTGTTTTCAGATGTTCTAATCTTACAGTTTTGACATCTTTTGTTTCACTTTTCAGTGGTTACAAAGCTCCAGAGTATGCCTCTCGAGGAGTTTACTCGACGAAGACAGATGTGTTCAGCTTTGGCGTTTTGGTTCTGGTGATTATTAGTGGCCAAAAGAATACCATACTCGACAAGCGAGTGGATACTGTTGGTGATCTTGTACGAGATGTGAGTGAAAGTACATTTCAAGCAACACCTTTTCCGTTCTCAATATTAGAAAATGGACTTACTTTAATTTTCAACTAAAGTAGTGAGTTTTAACCTATACCATTGCTTGACAACAGAAGTTGTGAACTTTTCAAATAGGGTGTGTAAAAGCAAGGCTTATTTTTTTTATACCTGGCACACACTACATGTAAGTTACCTTGCATTTATTTAAAATCAAATGTATTATATATTTCAGGCCTGTCATATGTGGAAGGACCAAAGGTTGCATGAGCTTGTGGATCCGTTGTTAGGGGACAGATATGAAGTCGCTGAGATAACGAGATGCGCTCAAGTGGCACAGCTTTGTGCCCAGGAAGATCCAGCAGATCGGCCCGCCATGACAGATGTTGCTGCAATGCTGAACTCTGAAAGCATAAGCTTACCAATGGAGCCTAAGCAGCCTGCTGCGCTGATCCATGGGTGTGCCAACAGAGGCACGACATCGACATACATGGGCCAATCAAGCAGTACAATAGAAGTAACCATAACGAGTTCAGCTCCAATGTAGACCAGAGTTCAAATCATTCTTGACCCGGAGGTTTGATATAATGGAGAACATTCAGTAGCATATATACAGTAAAAATGTAAGCGAGGATTATGGGCTTTTACGGCGCAGGTAGTGTACGTATTCGAGATATCAAGACCATTTTTGTGGAGTGAAAATAAACATGTGTGTGTGGTTGGTACCAGCTACCAGACTGATTTCCCATCGGCTACATTGTAATTCAAACGAATAATGTTTCATGTTTTTGTGCTGCTACTCAGCCAGTTCTTAGTGACGTTTAGCCAGGTTTGCCCATGTTTGGGAACAACTTTTGCAAACCAAAACTGATACTTGGCCGGCACATTCAATTTGAGTTAAGATCTGCAGCTCCACACACTAGGGACACATCAGGATCTCAAAATAAGCGTTGTTCAAGATTTAAAAAAATATGTTCTGAATGCACCATGCTGGTTAAGATGTTTAACTCTGAACTGAAGGCCTGAAAGTTAACAAAGCATAAAGAAAACAATGCTACAAGCAGGCATTCTTCTGGGCTCTATGCAAGGAGAAGTCATTTGTGCTTTCTCTGAGGCGTTGGAAAGATGCCAGTTTTAGCTATGCATGCCTGGGCCGACTCGGATTCAAAAACGAAAGTGCGCGTTTTAGCTACGCCTGGGCCGACTTCGACTCGGATTCAAATTGCTTGCCGCGTCTTTCTTTCTTGCTCGCCGTGTTTCCCCAATTCCCGATCCATCTGACCTCGCCCTCCGATCAGCCTCCCTCGATCCATCTTCCTCTCTCTCCCAACGCCGGATCAACTCCGCGGCCGCGACCATGGCCGGCACCACGGTGCACCCGCGACGTAGCGCCGCCACCGCCGACCTGCACTCCTGCTCCTCCCGCGTGCGCGTAAACCCAGCCCTGATGGCGAACCCTGTGGCGGCTGCCAAGAGGCCAAAGCGTCTAGGATCCGTGCGCGACGTGCAACCGCCGCCGGCGAAGCGCGTTCGCGGTGCCTGCTCCGGGGGCGAGCTCCATGTCGCCGTCCCCGCCAACATCAAGAACGGCAGCAAGCTTCCGTCTCCCAGCAGCGGCAAGGATCCGCTCCACTCCTCCGCGATCAAGAAAGACGTCGCTGAATCTCCGGAGAGCACTACGCAATCGAAGCCGCCGATCAGCATGCGCCAACTGATTGAGAAGGCTCGCCTCACCATGGCTCTCCTCGACAAGGCTCGCTCTGCCTCCAAAGAAGAGGCCAGCCGTCGGCAGGACATCGAGCGCAGCCGAGCGGAGGCCCGGCGAAAGGTGGAGCAGATGGCGCACACCGTGCAGTTCAACGACCCCTGGATCCATTACTCCGACGTGACAAAGTCCCCTGAGGAGCTGCTCCAAGCAAGACAGCAAGCATGGCGTTATCAAGCTCACCTCCTCGAGATGGCTCGTCGACGGGACTTTGCTCAAGCGATGCAAATGCTCCCGGCTTCCAAGGCTGCCAATGCTGCTGCGCCTGTGAAGAAGGTCTCTCGTCAGGTCGCTTCCAAGGCCTCTCACTGCTGCTGCGCCCGGTGTGAAGAAGATGACTCCAGCAGCTTCAACTCTGCGCGCAAGAAGGGAGATGGGGGAGCTCAGCTGCAAGATTCCGAAGCAAAACCGTGTCACCGCTGCAGCACCAAGGAAGCAACCAATTCCTTGGCTGCGTCCAGTGGTATTACGCCTTCCCTAGTCTTTTAGTTGCTTCCTAAACCATGCACACATGAGTTTCATTTAACCTTTGCATCTCTAGGTTCTGCACTTAATCACCAAGATTTCTAGTGTTCTTTGAATCCCTTTCAGTCATTACTAATTTTACAAGGGTGTCAGCAGAGTCTCCATCTAGCTAGGCAGCAAAAATCTTGCTAAGATGTGTACGGCATAGTTACACTACATCCATACCTGGTCCTAAGTTAAGGGTTTAAGTAAATAAAGGGCATTTTCAATAAATCAAAGTAAAGCAGATGAGCCTAAAAAGGAAACTCATGTACTGCAATTCCGGCACCTCGCCGCAAAATCCAAAACGCCCGTTTGCTACCCGGCTTGTAGCAGGAAAAAGGAGTAGAATTGAACTTGTCGATACACACGTAATCATGTGAGCTGCCTAGCGTTTGGAGACTATGCTGACTCTCTTGTAAAATTAATCTTGGCTGAATTGGATTCTTAGGCATTGGCGTCTTGGTGAGTTAAAGTTGCAGTTTCCGACGAGTAACATTGGTTAGTGAACTCTTGTGTGTATGTGTGGGTGAAGCTTTGAGCTAAGCAAGTCCTCAGTGTACCGACTATCAAGTCCTTGATGTACCGACTATCAAGTCATATTGTAATCAATATCAGATATGAATGAAAAATTGTTGGCCTGAATTTGTGCAGAGCATTTGAGTAACTTTCTGTATATATGTTTGTTGTATGCATCTATGACTTATTAAAAACATTTTGCTGCTCTAGTCGGAAAAGGGTGTGTACTGAGGCACCGATCCAATAGAACTCAGCTCTGATTTCTCAATACTTCGTTTGAGTGGTGAAGCACAGAACCATGTTTTTGACAGTTAATGGTTAGAAGATTTTTTTTTTGGTTTGAGATACTGTAATCTGAATTTGTTGGCCTGAATCTGTGCAGAGCATGAGTAATCTTTTTGTATCGATTTATTCTTGTATACTTCTATGGCTTCTTAAAACATTCTGGCGTTCTGGTTGGAGAAGTGTGTACCCGAGGAACGATCCAATGGATTGACCTCTGATGTCACAATACTTCCTTGAGTGGTGATGCAGATAACCATGTTTGGGACAGTTATCGGTTAGAAGATTTTTTGGTCTGAGATACAGCAATCTACATGTCAAGAATGTGAACTCTTGTGTGTGTGTGTGTGTGTGTGTGTGTGTGTGTGTGTGTGTGTGTGTGTGTGTGTGTGTTGGTGAAGCCTTGAGCTAAGCAAGTCCTCAATGAACCAAATATCAAGTTGTAGTGTAATCAATTTCAGATATGAATGCAAAATTGTTGGCCTAAATTTGTGCAGAGCATTTGAGTAACTTTCTGCATATATGTTTGTTGTAGAAGATTTGTTGGTTTGAGAATGTGGAAAAGTTTGCATCATAGTGCTGCTATCTGACAAATAGGTTTGGCTTTTCTCAGATCATGTTAGCTTTTCACTTGGATTACAAATGTCAAGGATGTGAAGAAGGTTTCAGTGCAACAGCAGTCTTACGTTCTCTGGCTCCTTGTGAAAATTTCTTGTTCATTTGAATATTACAAATTCCACTGTTCATCCTAACATCTTCACCAAGCAACCAAATATTGCGCTTGTACCATTGGGCATTGCTTTGAATCACTGGATCTAATTGCTTACTTTTAAAGGTTGTACCGTTGCTCCACGGTTACAGAAATATCACGCCATTTGATTGCAATACAACAACTTGGGTCCCAGACAAAAGATTGGAGTGTGGTCTTCCTGTTTTTGTAACATCGGACTGCCTAGAAACTGTTGTGGATTAGTCAGAGCAATAATGCAGCACTGGAAATGGATCAACTGAAGACAATCAAGGAGCGACAACATGCTCAGAAGAACCTAATGATATTTAAAACTTTGTTATCACCTATCAGGTGATTCATATTCTGGACCCTGAATATGCAGTGCTTGCATTTGCAGTGCATGAAAACTGAATTTTAGGCGTATTACGACAATGTGGTTACTACACCCATGGGAGACAGCAAATGTTAATCTTGTTGGAACTTTTGCATGCTCGAATGACAAATCATTCTAGAAGACATAATTTCTTTTTTAAATATATTTTTCTCTGCAAGCAAGAATTCTGCCAAGATCTGTGCACCGTGAACAATTTCCTTGAATCCATATGGTGTCTACAGTTTTTCTTTTTTAAATAGCCAGTCTACAGATATGCCATCAGGCGTTGACATGCTGCTTTCAGTTTGCTCTGTTAGCACATTTACCCGTGTTAAGTTGGTCTTTGCAAAAACAATTATAATGATGTTATTTTTTTCCCACGAGAAAATGAACGAGTACTGCATATTCATCATTAAACTGAAACTAAATGATAAGTGTGTTCCCCAGGTACGATCCAATGGATTGACCTCTGGTGTCACAATACTTCCTTTGAGTGGTGATGCACATAACCATGTTTGGGACAGTTATCGGTTAGAAGATTTTTTGGTTTGAGATACAGCAATCTACTTGTCAAGAATGTGAACTCTTGTGTGTGTGTGTGTGTGTGTGTTGGTAAAGCTTTGAGCTAAGCAAGTCCTCAATGTACCAACTATCAAGTTGTAGTGTGATCAATTTCAGATATGAATGAAAAATTGTTGGCCTGAATTTGTGCAGAGCATTTGAGTAACTTTCTGTATATATGTTTGTTGTACTATGACTTATTAAAACATTCTGCTGCTCTAGTTGGAAAAGGGTGTGTACTGAGGCACCGATCCAATAGAACTCACCTCTGATTTCTCAATACTTCATTTGAGTGGTGAAGCACAGAACCATGTTTTTGACAGTTGATGGTTAGAAGATCTGTTTGGTTTGAGATACTGTAATCTGAATTTGTTGGCCTGAATCTATGCAGAGCATTTGAGTAATCTTTCTGTATGTATGTTTGTTGTATGCATCTATGGCTTCTTAAATCATTCTGCCGCTCTAGTCGGAGAAGTGCGTACTGAGGCATGGATCCAATGGATTCGTCTCTGATTTCACAATGCTTACATGACCATGTTTGGAGGTTAGAAGATTCTTCTGGTTTGTCAAGAATGTGAAAAATGTTGCAGCATAGTGCAGCTATTTGACAAATTGGTCTGGCTTTTCTCATATCATGTTAGCTTTTCATTCGAATTATTGAACATAAATAAATAATTTATAATTTGGTGTCGGAGAGATGTTCCAAAGATGATATTTTTCTCTTGTATGGTTGTACTCTGCTCGGCAAGTCCGACGCAGAGGTTGTGGTGCTGTTGAAAGAGAAACCACCAACTTGTGCAATTTCAAGTAACTGTTGTATAGCTTTGTGAACTTCTTTTTTTGCGATGTGGAAACATAAGATTGCGGTCTCCAAGATCTTTCTGAACTTCGTTCAGGTCCAAGCTGCAACAACTTGATTTTGCTGCGTCAAAATCTGCAGCAACTGTTGTATAGCTTTCGCACTTCACTGACATTACTGTCAAGGCGCGATCCACCTGCATCACCGGTGGCCCTGGCCAGGATCGCTGTTCTCCGAGGACACACTTGCCGGGTCTATGGCAGCTGCAGACGATGAGGACACTGCTGGGTCTTTCGCCTCCTCGATCGGCTGGCTCTGTCACGAGCCTGCTAGGTTTGTGTGGATGTGATGCTACGAAATAAAAATAGGATTTGGAGGAACTAGTATAAAATCAAAATCCTGTTGTGCAAAATGGACATCATCAAACCCAGAACGCGCCGGGCAAGCACAGAGAACAATTGGGCACGAGGTAGGAGCGGCCAGGCCTTACATGTTTGGAAAGTTAAGGTACCCTTACGTATTAAAGTGTTTATGTGGTTTGTGCATAAACAAGTCATTCTGACTAAGGATAACCTTGCAAAATGTAATTGGGTAGGTCCGTCTCGATGTAGCTTCTGTGATCATTCTGAAAACATCAAACACCTCTTTCTCGATTGTCCGTTGGCTAAGATTCTGTGGCGGTCGGTTCATATTGCTTTTAATATCAGTCAGCCCACCTCTATTAGTATGTTATTTGGAACATGGCTAGATGGGGTGGATTCTGACATTGCAAGACACATTCGGGTTGGCGTTTGTGCACTTTTGTGGGCAATATGGAATTGCAGAAATGACTTAGTCTTTAACCGATCAACAAACATTCACTTTTTGCAGGTTATCTTCAGGGCCACGGCGTTCATCCGTATGTGGTCGCTACTCACTCCGACGAAGGCCAGGGAGCGTTTGGTTACTGCGTCTACCCGATGGGAGATGGTAGCTCGGGATATTTTCAACCGGTTTGGATGGCGGTCATGTAATAGGATAGACATGTAGTGATCCTATTGTTTTGCCAGCCGATTGTGGCTTTGGGCTTTTCTTATTTACAGATTTTGTTATAGTTTGTACTATGACCTTTCGATACTTTGCGACTGGTTTTTCCTTTTAATAATATGAGCCGTATGCATCTTTCTAATGCAGAGGCTGGGGCACGTCCCCTTTTCCAAAAAAAGGAGCGGCCAGGCCGGCACGGCGTGACCACGGCCGCCGTTCTTGCAATGCTTAGCGCGGAACATGGTCACATGGAGCAGGCACTTTCCACCCCTAGCTTCCGCTCCCTCGCCGGCCGTCGCCGGCACGACCTCGACGAGGCAGAACCGCCCATGTCCGACGTGGACGAGCGCGCGGCACCCGAGGTTCACCGGCGTCTCGAGGAACGTGAGCTCCTGATCGCACATACTCCACGCCGGCGCCGGCACCGGCCCCTCGACGTCGACGTCAGCGAGGTCCGGGACGTCGCAGGAGCAAAGGTAGGGTTTCCCCTTGACCCCGCCATCGGTGCCGTCGGCCTCCCGGATCCCGACCCACGCGCCCAGCTCGCCGTCGTAGTGCCCGCGGCCATGGAACGGCAGGCGCCAGTCGCCGCGGCGCGCCGACCGGCAGCCCTCGGTGTCGAGCGAGAAGGTGAAGGAGGACGAGGCGAAGACGGTGCGGCCGTCGGGGTGCACCGCGTGCGACATGACACGGCTGTGGCCGCCGCCGGCGTCCTGCGGGAGCGGCGACCGGCACATCTTCCATACCCACTCCTCGTCAGGCTCCTCGTATGCTAGGTAGCCTGGCGTGCTTTCCTCCTCTCCGTTTAGCGCCCACAGCTTGTCGCCGACGGGCGCGGATTGGTAGGGACGAGACGGGAACCATTCCCTGGCCTCGAGCACGTCGCCGTCGGGTTCCTCGTCGTAGGGGCCGGGGGGGAACTCGTGTGGGGGCCTCCCGCCGTCCAGCCTCCCCGTCTTGGTGTCGTACACCAAGGTGAGGAAGTAAGCAGAGCGGCAGAACAATACGGAGAGGGTGCCGGAGTGAGCCGTCATGACGATGCTGCTACCGACGGCATCGAAGTGCCTGTCATTATTGTATGTGCCCACCAACGAGGCGCCCAGGCTGAGGGCTGGTCCGGGGAGGCGGCGCGGCGCCTCGTCGTGCTCGTCGCCGCCGTGGAGGTCGTCGACGTCGAGCTTGTAGATACTGTGGGTCACCGAGCGCCTCTCCTTGAGCACCACGTACAGATGCCGGCGCAGATTGGACTCCGCCGCCGCCGTCCTGCCATCAGCTCCGTTGGGCCGTACCGTGTCGTCGTCGGTGGCGTACGCACGTGATGGGGCGATCCTTGGCTTGGCAGCGCCCCGAGCGGCGGCTGCTCGCCACCGGAGGTGGGAGAGAAGGGGCTGAGATCGGGCGATGATCGAGCGCAGCATCGTGGGAAGAAATTCAGATCGTGATAGTCCGCGAGAAAGGAAAAAAAATATGATGCGATCGTTATTCGTCTTGAGTTACCAAGCGCTTTATAATTTGGTTGGGATTGGACAAATCTTGCTATATACAAGAGCCGGCTGATTTTGTTAGTTTCCTTATTATCTCATGTTAGGGAAGACAATATTGTACTAACGGGTTTGCTCAAGCTCGGTCGACTAGGACTTAACCATTGGATCTTTGCGCGGAGATTCGTGCTAGAGTGAGCAACATTGGTGCTGGTTGCAGCATATCACGTCACCAGTTGTTGTGTTCGCCCTCATCGCTCGAAGCACATTGTTCCGTCATTCGCAGATTCCACAATCATTGTATGCAGCACTAAGCCTCATCAGTTGCAGTGTCCATCGTCATTGCTCACAGCATGTCTCACAGCGTCTAACATCCCCGTTGCATGCCAGTACCACCAGCTGCAGCATCCAATCATGCCATTCGTAGCACAACTACGGTGACGTCACTTGGCTGAGAGTTAAGTCTCAGCCGACTGAGCTCTATGCAGACCCATTGTAACAACTAACAATCCGTTGCCGACTGGAGATAAAATCTCTCTGAATGGAATGTCATAGGAAAGAGAAAACTGGAGAAAAAAAAGGCAAGACAAAACTGTAATTTCTATTTCTTTCACCAGGATCGTTGTGTTAGTTTCAGTATGAAATGTCAGCTTCTAGGACCATCACCAGGATCCATACCTCCATATATACGTGTGCAAACGATAGCGTATAAGAGCAAGCAAAAAATTTGAGTCAATTGCTACCAACATGACCGGTCTCGGTAAAGATAACAAACTGCACTTCCATTGACTAAGGGAGTTATTACTTGAACATCCCGAGGGCGTGGCTCCACACTAGTGCACGAAAGAAACTTTGCAGGAAAAAAAAGGACTTGAAAAGAGGATGTCTTTTTTTCACGAGAGGTGACTGCATGCATCTATCTTCAGCACTAGCGCAATGCTCAAGCTCATGTCATGTTGCCTTTGGTGCCGCCTTTCGATATCTTCGAAGATTCCATAGCTTCCCTGCACATCACACCCACAATCAGTGTTCAATACCAGCACTGATAAAGTTTAAAGTTTTCACTAAGCACATCAGAGCAGTCAAATAGTATAACGTTTCCAGTATATAACTAACAGTGACATGTGCTGAACACAAACATGCATGCGACAACAAAAGGGGTAGATGGATACCGTAATGCAGATTCCATCTCGGCATTCTCCGGGTCCAACTTGAATCCATCAAGAAGCGCCACGCACGCGTTAATGTAGTCCTGGTGATGAATGATGGCCTTGTGAACGAATTATTCAAAAAAAATGCATTGGTCAAATGAAGTAGCCAGCAGGATCTTCAATCCCACCTTCAGTGACATCAGAGCTGCACCCTGCCGGTAGTAGGCCTTTGGCCAGTCAGGCCGCATTCCTCTGCAATCAAGAGCGTCCAGCAAAGCCCTCTGTCCGTCACCCATGCGAAGCAAGCAGAGGCTTCTGTTTGAGAACAAGGTTGCATCATTAGGGTCATGCTCTATTGCCTGCATCCAACAAGTTAAAGATCTGCTGAGTATCGAAACAGATACGAATTTGTGAATAGTAAATCTGCAAATGGCTGCTCATTGACTAGTACTAGTGCAAGACATTAATGAATCATGCAAAAACCTTGATTTTCTTGAAAAGAAGCCAATCTCAGAAGCTTTTTCATATATAATTCATTAAATATAGGACAATACTGAAGTAAAGTCAATTGCGGACCAAATAAGTTCTACTTGATTAATTTCCTAACCCCCCTTAAAAATATGGAATGGCGACAAGCAAAACGAGCCCCCTTATGACATTTGTTTTTGGTCGACACCAGACCAGTTGTCTTGTACTACTGAGGACTTGCTTACTAGTTTTCGAGTTGGCAGGGGTGGGGGAATGGGAGATAAGTTACTTTTGGAGTACAAGATTCTCTTTTTCAGCGTCATTCTATGGAAGCAGGATGGCACAACAGAATAGGTAAAGAAATGACCAAGGCAGCAAAAAGAAAGACACAGCACAGCTATTAGTTAGAGTTTATCCTGGCAACATCCTTTGCAGCTGCTAGACAGTCTGACGCCCCTAATTTGTTGATAGTGGACTTGACGCACAGTTACCGAGAGCAGAGCAGTGAGCCAACCAATCGAGCAGTAGGTTCACTGATTTCTCCATCCATCCAACCGGTAGTTCTAACAATAGGTGAGCTTTTAGAAAAATTTACTTCATGGTAAATGTATCTGCAGTAATGTCAAGGTCCAAAAACAGCTTATTGGCTCTGAAAAACAGAAGATTGTCTAAACATAGGTTCATTTGCACCTCCCAGATGCAATGCAGCACGTAAGGAGAAGGCAACAGGTCAGCAAATCCAATTATGTCCTCTCCAAAGGAAAATCGGGAAAGAATTCATTCTATTTTTCCCAGCTGAACTGTTGTGGCCGGGAAAGGACAAATTCCTGCTAGAACACCAGGAGTAGAATCGGACAAGCAGCCAGGGCATGAATGCATGATGGGGTTGGCAAGGAGCATAAGCTGGCTAGTAGGATTAGTCACCTAACATGAGTTAAGAAACTTAATGGGGCTGGCGCACAAGCAGCCTGGGGAAAAGGAAATAAATGATTGTGTTTTGTTTGGAACGGGGCAGAGATAAAGAAAGAGTTCTAGTTTTAGGTTTCAAGATCTGATACACCTATACAAGAGACTATTAAAATCTGCAAGCAATATAATACCAACATGCTACAAATCAGTACCCAGCTAATCCCTTTCCAGTCAGTCTAGCCTTATTTTCAAGGTAGTTATCCCTTGACAATGCCACTGACCAAGTTTCCTTTTCAATAACTAGGCCTTGCCATTTGGTGACTCAAACATAGCTAGAAGCCTGTTTGAAAATCTCCAGGTTCACGTGCTTTCTTTTCTGCCAAAGAATTAGAACTTTAGAAGCAGGAAAGAATACAAAATATGGCGTTGTAACATACCTTAGTGTACCACATTGTTGCAGAAAAATAATCTTTACTCTCGATTGCTTTAATCGCAGATGACTTCAACTTTGCTATTTCCCTTTTAATCGCATGTTCATCCTGAAACATAAATATCAAATAAGATGGAGACATGAGTAATGAATAGAAAAATGCTTTAATAGTAAAGAAAAAACATAGGACTGTTCTGTAAATATTTGGGAAAACATATGGTTTTGACTTGGCAAAAATGTTACTATCAACATTCCATATTGTATAAGCATAATGTTTAGACTTCAATCATACAACATCCTGCATACATGCTCAGTTCTGTAATAAATATTATTGGGTTATTAGGCCCCAATACCAATTGAAACTTTAACAACAAGAAATGTAGTCTCATAAATTTGAAATTTTCACCTCACACATATTTTTCTAGTTAAGATATTTAAAATATTCTTAATATTTCTTTACTAACATATTTGCCAATATTTTAACAACTCAATCTAGAAAGGAAGCCAAATATAGCATTTGATCAATATTTTTTTCATGTGGAAGCATAAATAAAGTGTAGGACAGTCAAATTGTTTTGAGCCAAGTCGTTAGTCAACTTAAGCATCATGTGGTGTCACAAGCCAAAATGCACATTCAAGTTTTCAGTCCAAAATGTACATAGCAAGAATCCTTAAGGACCCAACTTGCTATGTGCACATTCAAGTCACATAGCAAGAATCCAATCAGACTGTTCGGTACTAGACATAGACTAATTCTAGAAGAAACTGGAGGCACATAAGGACCTGGTGCCATGTTTCGTGGATAATGTCCTCCACTAGGATGTTGCTACCAAAAGAATGCAGAGTTACAAACATAACGGTGTACTAATTGGCTCACTGCCATGGTCTACCACTATTTCTTCCACAGTTATGGGCTTGTGGCCGCCACAAAATTTATGGAGAAGAAAATGTCTGCCACAGCTGTAGCCAAACTTGGCTATGAAGATAGTAACTGAGATTTGAGTCCTGCTGAAAAGAAGTTTGGCGTGCTAGGCCAAACTTGGCTACCTAAGATGTGGCAAACTGCAGCCACAAACTAAATAGGCCCTGAAGATGATAAAACTGACTGAATAACTATCCTAGAAGCACCTTAGGATTGACTTTGACCTCGACCTCTTCCCCATGGGCAACGTGCTGCTCCTGTTGTTGTCGCGGCCCCTGGTCACGTCCTCGTCCTCTGCCGGATCGCTGGGCGGTGCCAGCGACTCGTCCTCTGGCGCTGGCGCGGACAGCAGCCTGAAAAACAACGAGTCGTTTTCACAAAATCCACCAAACACACAACCCACCCTCTTCTCTGACATTAGCACCACCTGACTGCAACTTACAATGCCAGAAAAAAAAAAGCGCCTAAGTTGTCTGACATGACAAACTTTGGTTCAACAATGATAAGTGGCAGTGTGGCACTGAGGCTGCAATGCTCTTACCCTGAAGTGAATCGCTCATATTCTCACTCCAGTCAGTGTTCTCACTGGAGGTAGATGTACAACATTTCAAAAAAAATCAGGTCATAACAAGAGCAATTACCACATTTTGAATATTAGTACATGACAACAAAACATCAAACTGAACCTCGACAGATATATAATGGTAATACTAATATTTGATGGCTCCATTCTTTATATCTCCTTCTCAAAGTAGAAAAACTTATTTTACTGGGCATCAAACCGAAACAATACAAATATCTATGCATCATTACTGGGAAAAAGTTACAGCTTGTTAGTATGTAAATTAAACAATAATTATAGGGAAGTTTACCCAAACAAGAACCAATATTTCAACAAACATCAATAGTCTAAACATCTCATACGACATGTATCACATATTTATATATCCCGCAAACAGAAGAGAACAGATAGCATGGAATCCCATGGAGCCACATAGCACAGCAACATACTTCGTGTACAAGATGCCTATGCTAAGTTATGTGGGTCAAGGGTCCAACAGGGAAAGATGGTGAGTGCATGGTTTCGTAGTAAAGCACCGACAAATTCTGGATAGGAAATAAGTGATACTTATGCTCCACAGCTTAAGTCTTGAGCAGTGTCATACGCTTGTGTTTACTAGTGGCAAAGAAGTAAATCTTACATCATTAGAGGCATTACGCTTGGCACCAGCCTTCAGTAAGAAATTTAAGCACTCTGTTGAGCCGTCATTTCCCGTTGTAGAATCAAATGAAACAGTTTCGATACAATCTGGGTTGATAACAGCACCAGCCTATCACATAAAAGGAATGTCACATTTTATATATGGTGAATATAACTAAAGAACTTAAAGATTTCCAAGCTTAAGTGTTGGAAAATATTGAATATTGAAATAAAGTAAACAAACCTCAACCAAGAGCTTCACGCATTGTAGTGATGATACATTTACAGCCTGAAAGAGGGGTGTCATAGGATTCAGTCCATAGCTCATGTACGTCTTGTTGCACTAGTGAGAGATGTGAAGCACGTTAGTTGCTATTAATTGATGATAATAACTGGACATAGAAAAATAATTAAACAGAACGGTAAGTATGCATAACCATATATCTATGCCAAGTTTTAGCTAAAAAAAAGTAGGAAACAGCTCCTGGCTCCTGCGACGTTGAAATTTGCAAACACAAATAAGTACAATGTTGCAATAGTCGCCTTATTGGTTAAATCTTGACTAGAAGATTTTTATTATTTTATTGATGATTGGTACTCCCTCCATAAACAAATATAAAACGTTTTAGGTCACTAAAGTAGTGAATTAAAATGTCTTATATTTCTTTACAGAGGGAGTACCATATAGTACTACGTAAAAGTAGCAGCCATGATAGGAAATCAATCATTATGGCAAGTGCACAAAATGACAATGCACCCAGAAGAAATTGATCAACACATGCAATTTGCACTTTGAAATTATAGATGCATGAAAGCACGTATAGGAGCTTCCACAGAAAATAATAGTGGAGATTCCAAACAAACATTAAACATTACTCTTGCATAAGGATATATGTAGATTATAAGCTACGGTTGGAGAACACAACTTTACGGACTTGAACAAAAGTAAAATGAAGTATTAGTGATTCTTGTAACAGTTGCTCCCTAGGAGATCTTGAACAATAACATATAACTAGAAAATTAGACAACTAGAAGCAGCAGGGAAGAAAGAAGTAACAAACATTTGAAGATTTAATTGTGCTGCAAAGAACAATGATCACACCATAACTTGCATACTAGCAAAAGAACAAAACAGCTTCAAGAGTACCAAACAATAACTAGAATGGAGCATGAGAACAATACAGTTAATGAACAAATGGAGAAAAGGCAAACAATTCAAACTCTATTTTGTGTTTACAGTTGAACATGCAACTTAAGGCAGAAGTAGCATGAAGTTAAGCTTACATCTGCATTATGCTCCAATAAAGTCTTCATAGCACCGACTTGTTGTTCCTTAGTAGCAAGATGCAGTGGTGTCCCAATCTCCTCAGCTATCGGGTCAACATATGCTCCCTTTGCAAGCAACAGTTTTATCATTTCACAATTTCCTGCATAAAAAAAGCAATATGAAGGTACTTATTACATAATAAGATGGTAAGTTTTTTTTTTCTGACAATCTTTTTTATTTATTTTATCTGGCTCCTGGCAGACCTCAGTTTTCCCTGCATATAGGTTACGAAGATCATGCTAAAGGGGTCAATGTTCCATAGAAATAAGAACTACGCCCACTCGTCTAGCCAAATAAGTTGACTAAACCAATTTCTTTTGAAATCAAGTGAAGGGGACTAACTATTTCGCTTTTAAGGGTGGTGTAACTGGGAGCTGAATAGAATTTAACTAACGAATTTGAAGATAACCTACTTCCATACTAACCTAAGGGAAAGAAAACATAAGTTGCCCTGGAAGTTTGGTCAAACAAACTGTAGTAAGAACATAACACAGCCACAAAATATATTAGAAACAAAAATTCAAAAACTGTGGTGCACACGTGCAAAATAGAGATAACATATGAATAGAGAGGACCTATTCCAGCAGCAGCATGTAGAGGAGTTAGCCCGGCCTCATCAGCTTTGTCTGGATCAGCACCATGATCAAGAAGACACTTGACAACAGCAATCTTTTCACTCATCACCGCATAAAAAAGAGGTGTTCTACCTGTCAAGCACGCATACCACGAGGCTTATTTGACGCAAGTCAATTCAGGATCAGCAAAGAAATGTACATCTGAAAACTCCTCACCGAACATGACATCTAGAAATATGATAGCAAGATTACAAACTAGGGGACGACAGATACATGAAATTCAGGTATCACAGGTGTTAGAATGTGGGGCTCGCTGAGGCACTGTTTGGCAAACAGGACTAACTATTTCACTTTTTAAAGTTTTAAGAGACCCATGAATATGCAGACTCAACTGTAGAGCTTTAGTTTCGGTCCCTGTGAGACGAAATTGAAGTTCTAATGGCACCATTAAATACTTCAGGGCATTTTCATAAGTGCAACCAAGCAACGTTTGGAAAGGAACAGACCCTTATCATCTGCAGCATCGACATCCACGCGCAGCACCCCGGCCAGGTAGCTGCAGACCTCGAGCTGCTCGTTGGCCGCGGCGATCAGCAGCGCCGACATGCCGCCGTCGGCCCTCGCCGCCTCCACCGCCTCCCTGGGGCGGCCCTTGCCGTTATCCAGCACCCACACCACCCCTGCAACCGCCCCCCAAAAAATCAGAGCTCGGAGGAACGCCAAACCGCCGGGGGCCGAAATCGGGAGGCGGGCGAGGGGGGAACTCACTCTTGAGGAGGGGGAGGTCGCCTTTGAAGGCCGCGTCGAGGAGCGTGTCCTGCATCGAAGAGATGGCTCTCGCGACTGCGGAGAGGGGGAGGGAGGGAGAGTGAGCGAGCGGATTTAGTTAG